TGTGCTGACAAATCCCTGACTCTGCCAGGAGCTTTCCAAGGTCTGCGGGTCCCTGGGCTGTGCTCTGCCCCTGTCCCTCCAGAGAAGGCAGCAGAAGCACGGCCTGGCATCCTCCACAGCTCCCCAGTGCCTGCCCTGCAGGGCTCCACTCCCCGACCTTTCTCTGACTTCTGGGATGAGCTAATATTTGGGCAGGAACTTTCTGCTGGGGTAATCCATCTCTGAGTGACAGTGGCACTCTGTGCTCAGGGCTGAGGTTTGTAGGTCAGATGTTTGCCCGGTGCGTGGGATTCCCAGGAGAAAGTGGAGTGTTTCTGCAAGCTGTTATTAAAGCCAATTATGTCTGTAAAAATGTCTTTCCGGGTGGAAGGTTGAGGTGTTTCATGACAGCAGGTCACACAGAGGACACGGATGGGGTTTGTTGCCCCACGAGCCCGGGCTCGCTCTCCCTCCGTGACCTGCAGAACCGGTTCTCCCCTCCCGGAGGCAGAAACCCAAAACCCCGTGTGGCAAGAGAGAGAGGACAGGGGAAGAGAGTCCTGTCCTGGCTCCTGGTGTGACACTCCTCGCCCTGAAGGGCTGGAGGAAGGTCTGACATGGAAACTTCCTTCAGCCTGCTGTCAGTGCCCCCATCCTGCCCGCCAGGCTGCCTCGGGGTGTCCTTCTCCAGAGGCTGGGGACATCTCAGCCACTAGAAACACACCACAGAGCCAGAAGTACAGGCACCTAAAGCCCTGCACCAAGGCCAAGATGGAAATAAAATCACCTTGTGAGCCTTCTCTGTGGATGGGGTTTCCACAAGGAAGCCAGAGCCAGCTCCCAGGCAAAAAAATGTGCTTCCATCCCATTTCAGTCCAAGAGATCAAGGAGATCAGTTTTACCCATAAACAGGCCAATATTCTGGAACAAATCATTCTGTAATTCTTGTGTTTTCTCAGCTGGATCTTTATCTGCATTGTCAGCTCAGGACAGTGTCACCCAAACCTCGTTTAGTAGTGGGCTGCACCTATGTCGCATTAAATTGAATTAGTGGCAAGGAGCTGCAGAGATGCACTGCTCAGTAATGCCTCACTCGCCGTGCCTGGGCAGCTGCAGGCTCTGTGCTCTCTGTTCCCTTGTGTTCAAGGGGCAGCAGAGCCCTGAGCTGTGTTACTGCCATGAATTATTCAGTTCTTACCCTTGTGAGAGAGCTGCTGCCACTCTGTGTCAGCTGTCAGCAGAGCTTCATTGTCAATTTTACCTGCTGGACGTGGATGTTTTTGCTGTTGTGACAGCATGGAGATTTGCCTACATCTCAGGTAATGGCTGAGCCATTCAGCTGCTCCTCACTCCTTTTAATTCCTTGTGGCAATAGGTAAAATCAAAATACTGAAAGTTGCCAGTGAGACTGGCCAGTGGGGCTCAGGGGCTGGCTTAGCTCCCACCTGCTCGTGTCCCACTCACACCCCCCCAGTCCCAGTGGTGGTGCAGCTGTCCCCATGCCCAGCCAGCTGTGACAGCTGCCCTGGGGGCTGTGGTACCTGAATTCAGCACTTTGGTGCAGAAATAACTCTGTGCTCATGGCTGGTGAATGCTGTTTATACCCCACTGGCTGCCACGCCGTGTGCCAGGGTTATAAATACCCTGCTGCGTCTAGACTGGGGCTAAACTTGGCACTGGGCACCCAGAGTGATGAGAGGAGTGGTTTCAGCCCTCAGCACAAAGGAGGAGCCCCAAAGTGTTTGGTCAGGGCTCCAGAGGGGGCTTGGCAAGAGGCTGCTCTGCTCCTGCCACGCCAGAGCAGCGCTGGCCCCTCTCTCCGAAGGGGCCTTGGAAAATCTCCTGTTCTCCCAGGCTGCTGGGCACCCAGCCCAGAGGAAATACCTGACCTGATCCCTTCCTGATGGCCTTCAATGCCCCATTGAGAGCGAGGGGTGCCACACAGCACAGGCTCAGCCTGCCTGGCCCCCAGCCCTGAGCTGAGCCTGGCTGGGCTCGGGCTGGCACCGGGGTGCCAGGGGCTGCTGCAGCTGCAGCTGGGCTGGAGGGGAGCACCAACCTGCATCACCTGCCTGCAGGAGCCTCTGCAGGCAGGCACAGCCACAGCAAGGCTGGTGCATTTCCCCGTGCAGCAGAGGCTGGCAATCTGTGTTCTGATGGACAGTTTGTGTTCTGATGGACAATCTGTGTTCTGATGGACAGTTTGTGTTCTGATGGACAGTTTGTGTTCTGGTGGACAATTTGTGTTCTGATGGACAGTTTGTGTTCTGATGGACAATTTGTGTTCTGATGGACAGTTTGTGTTCTGGTGGACAATTTGTGTTCTGATGGACAATCTGTGTTCTGATGGACAGTTTGTGTTTTGATGGACAGTTTGTGTTCTGATGGAGGACAGTGAGCTTTGGGCCAGCTGTGCAAGGGGGACTCTGTGATCTCCTTCCCACCCCTGGCTCTTGCCTGGAGGCTGAGAGCACTCTTGGCACACTGTGGGGCAGCTCCAGGATGGATAAATGACAGAGCAGGGGATCACACCTCACAGCAGAGCGCTGGCTATAAACACTTCTTGTGTCAACATGGGGGAAACCTCACAGACCATAAGCTCAGGCAGGGCCATGCTGAAGCCCCCTGCCCTTTGCAGCATTGCTCCTCCCTGGCAGGGGCCACAGCACTCCCCGGAGGAGCAGGGAATGGGGACAGAGCTGCTGTGCTTGCCTGTGGGTGTGGAACATCCCAGCGTGGCCGTGGGGCAGGCAGGGCTCCAGACTGCAGCAGCACGGAGCTGCCAGCCAGGAGATCCTGAGGATTTATGGATCAGCTTCCAGGCCTTGGACAGGTACACCTGTGGTCATGACACAGCAGCAGCAGCACGCCAGGGCTGTGCTCTGCCTTGGGAGGTGAGCCCAGGGGATGTGGAGGCTGCAGGTGGACAGCAGCCCTGGCAGATCCTCCTCTCCCAGGCAGTGTCCCTGTGGCTCCAGGCAGTGAGGACTGCTGCCACGGCAGCTCCTTTAGCCCCTGCAGGGCTCTGGGAGCCCAGCTCTGTGCCGAGGCTCAGGGGCAGTGTCCTGCAGGGCTGTGCGTGGCTGTGGCACTCCCAGAGCGGGTCCCTGCCCCAGGGTCCATCCCACAGCTGCTGGGCCTTTGCAGAGGGGGATGCTCTGGGGTCTGTCGGGCACTGTGCTGCATGAGCTGCCTGCCCAGGGGTCTGCTCGAGCTCTGCAGTGCTCTGGGATGTGCTGGGGAGGCTGCAAAGCTCATTTCCTCAGCGCCTGGCACCAGCTCTGCTTCCCAGCCCTAGGAGCCGCAGGGAGGCCACGAGGTGAGGCGTGTTTGAGCCGTTACCTGGGCAACAGCTAAACACTGACTTCAGATAATAATTGTAAAATAGCTCCACATCAGGGTGAGGAGGCAGGGGGAAGGGGGGCTGCCACTGCCCGTGGTCCCAGGGATCCCATGGAATCCTCAGTGGAAAGCTGCTCGTGCGAGCCAAGCTGGCTCAGCTCAGCCTGGGCTGGGAGCTGCCAGCAAAGCCAGCCAGGCTGAGCCCAGGGGGACCTGGTCCCTTCCCCACAGCTCCTGCACCTCCACATCCATCCCCTGCTGCTCCCTGCCACCTCCCTGAGCCGTGCCTGCCCCTGGTGGGACCCTGCACGGCCCCATGGAGCACCCCAAGGGGGGAGTTTAGCCCAGGCTGCTCCCCAGGGATCCCCTCGGCACAGCCCAGAGTCTCTGAGCAGCAGTCTGGGCCTCTGGCACCAAAGAACCCGCTAGAATTTAGTCAATGGTAGCTTCCTTTGGGTTTATCCTTGGGATGAACACAAAAGGCAGAGGGAGCTCTGGGCAGGCTGCAGCTCAGGCTGGCCCCAGGTAGCTGTGAGGTGCCTGAGCTGTGGCACCGTGTGGCCCCAGCCCAGCCCTGGGCTCTGCAGTGGTGCTGAGCTGAGCTCTGCAGTGGTGCTGAGCTGAGCTAAGGGTTTGCACAGCCTGTAAAGCATGAGCTAAACTCCCAGCTGAGCTGCCAGCCGCCGTGTCCCGGGACAGGGCAGGGCTGGGGCACAGAGCCACTGCCAGGACAGCCCTGCTCTGCCCTGCCTGCAGCTGCCTGCTCCGTGGGACTCGCTCCAGGCAGGTGGAGCTGCAGCTCTGTGCTCCTGGGAGGGATGGCGTGTGTTTGACCAGCAGCATGAGGTCACTCTCCAGCCCCCTTTGGGTGAGGTATATCAACAGGCTGCCCTTTGCCTGGGATAGAGTAATTCACTTTTTAAAATCTGCTTGTGCTGCTTTCCCTTCCCTCTTAACCCGTTCTCAGCCTTTGCCTTTCCTCATTGTTTCAGAGAGGACAAAGTGTGAACTGCATCAAATAATGGCATTTACCACAGAGTCACCTGTTCCTTTCAGTGGCCAACAAACCCTGAGATCACAGGCAGCTGTTACCAGCTCCCACAGCCATCCCCAGAAATCCATAAAGCAGAAATAATTCTCCTTCACCCACTTGCCTTTTCCCCTTGCACTGTGAGCCATGGAGGTCTCACAGAGGGATTCAATCTGCAGTGGAATCCTGAGCACCAGATTAAAAGGTGGCATTTGGGGCACATTTCAGCTCTGGACCAACAAGGCTGACGTGCCCACAGCACCAAGACATGCCCTGGCTGCAGGTTTTATTGCCCAGAAGCCACAATAAATGGCATGCTAACAGAAAGGGTGGGCTGGGCACTGGCCAGGTGGATTCCATGGGTGGATTCATCCTGTGACTGCAGAGAGCCTGGATCTCTCCTGCTCTGCCTCTGCTGCATGTGCTTAAGGAACCAGCAAGAGAAGGAGAAAGGAAATTAGCACAACAGAGAACTTGACATGAAAGTGTTTTATATCATCTCCTATAAAACAACCCATAAATCCCTGCCCTCCTGCTCCACCCCTGCACATGGTTTTCATTTCAGTGGCTGAGAAGCAGAGAGAGAAGTGGAGGGTACAAAGCACATATTCTTGGTGGGAGAGGTCCCCCTTCCCTAAAGGCTTCCTCCTCACACCTTGTGCCTGTGCCCACAGCACAGCATCCTCCTCTGGGGAGCAGTGACAGCCTGGGGCAAGCCAGCATCTGCCACATCTGCCACATCTGTCACACCTGCCACATCTGCCACATCTGCCACATCATCTGCCACATCTGCCACATCATCTGCCACATCTGCCACATCATCTGCCACATCTGCCACATCATCTGCCACATCTGCCACATCATCTGCCACATCTGCCACATCATCTGCCACATCTGCCACATCATCTGCCACATCTGCCACATCATCTGCCACATCTGCCACATCATCTGCCACATCTGCCACATCATCTGCCACATCTGCCACATCATCTGCCACATCTGCCACATCATCTGCCACATCTGCCACATCATCTGCCACATCTGCCACATCATCTGCCACATCTGCCACATCATCTGCCACATCTGCCACATCATCTGCCACATCTGCCACATCATCTGCCACATCTGCCACATCATCTGCCACATCTGCCACATCATCTGCCACATCTGCCACATCATCTGCCACATCTGCCACATCATCTGCCACATCTGCCACATCATCTGCCACATCTGCCACATCATCTGCCACATCTGCCACATCATCTGCCACATCTGCCACATCATCTGCCACATCTGCCACATCATCTGCCACATCTGCCACATCATCTGCCACATCTGCCACATCATCTGCCACATCTGCCACATCATCTGCCACATCTGCCACATCATCTGCCACATCTGCCACATCATCTGCCACATCTGCCACATCATCTGCCACATCTGCCACATCATCTGCCACATCTGCCACATCATCTGCCACATCTGCCATACCTGCCACATCTGTCACACCTGTCACACCTGCCACACCTGCCACATCTGTCCCCCCTGCCACATCTGTCCCCCCTGCCACATCTGTCCCCCCTGCCACATCTGTCCCCCCTGCCACATCTGTCCCCCCTGCCACATCTGTCCCCCCTGCCACATCTGTCCCCCCTGCCACATCTGTCCCCCCTGCCACATCTGTCCCCCCTGCCACATCTGTCCCCCCTGCCACATCTGTCCCCCCTGCCACATCTGTCCCCCCTGCCACATCTGTCCCCCCTGCCACATCTGTCCCCCCTGCCACATCTGTCCCCCCTGCCACATCTGTCCCCCCTGCCACATCTGTCCCCCCTGCCACATCATCTGTCACACCTGCCACACCTGCCAATCTGCCACACCTGCCTGCCCTGTCCCAGCCCCAGGAGCCTGGCTGGCAGCACTCAGGGCACTGCATGGGCTGGGGAAGCTCTTGCAGCAGTGACACTGGGGCAGCTCCTGAGCGTCAGGAAAGGGGAAAGGACTGAGCTTTGAAAGACCCTGGTGTTCAGATTCGGTCCCCAAAGAAATCCTGAGGTGTTTCAGGGCATGGCAGCTTACTCTGGAGTTCCTGGGGGAGCTGGCTGAGATTTCTGGAAGGGTCTGGTGGCTGCCAGTGTCAGATTCTTAGAAAAAGAGGCAGTGTCCACAAAGCTGTGACAGTAGGACACCCAGCCCTTGAGGGGTCTATTGCTGCATTGCAAGAGCCTCGTTGTTGGCTCATTGCTCCTGTACCCATTTGTAACCTTACAGAACACATTTAAATAAAAATCCTCATTCACTGAATAAAAAAACAAATCCGGGGGAAAATATGTTGAAATTGTAGCAATTATTGCTTTTGTTTCTATAAAACTTAATCCTCCTCTTGGGCTGTTAGAGCAGATTGTTTTAAGGCCATGCAGGACAGGAGATTTACTGGGGCAGATGTGAAGGTCAGGCAGAGCTCTGTGGTGAGAGCCTTGGTGGTTTCAGGGAGTGTGCACAGCCCTCGTGGCAGAGCCAGGGTGTCAGGGACGAGGGAAAGGAAGAGCTCCTGGAATGACCCCGTGAACCTTGCACAGGAAAGCATGGAAAATGCTGGGTTACAGCCTTGTTACTTCTGGAGTGAGGACAGCGAAGATCAAGACACAGGAAAGGTTGGAAAGGAATGTTTAAAGCTAAGCTAATGACAATAAAAAAGCAGATGTGGAAGGCAATAAAAGTGATGGGATGGACAGCCATTTTCCTGAGCACTTTATGCTGATGTTAGCTAATAAAACAGCAGAGCCTTGGTAACTGAGCTCCTCTCCTCTGTGCATTCCATCCTCCCTTCAGTTATTTAATTCCTCTTCAAAGAGAACCAATCCTTATTTTAAAGGGAAGATTGCACCAAGCAATTATCTGCAAACCCAAGGAGGTGAGAGGTGTTGCTGAGATGAAAGAGACTTCACCCTTGCAGGTATTTTGTTGGTTAAACTGCAGAGTACAGGAACATGGCAAGCAGATATGTGTCACACTGAGCACGTTCCCACCACGATTCTGCTGTCATTGCAGCTGGGGGTGGCAGAGCACGTAGGTGCTGCAGCTGTCACCATGATGGCAGGGCTTAGGTTGGGAGCAGCTTTCACTGTGTCACCAGGGCTTAGACTGGGAACAGCTCTCACTGTGTCACCATGATGGCAGGGCTTAGATTGGGAGCAGCTCTCATTGTGTCACCAGGGCTTAGACTGGAACAGCCCTCACTGTGTCACCATCACACCAGGGCTTAGGTTGGGAGCAGCTCTCACTGTGTCACCAGGGCTTAGACTGGAACAGCCCTCACTGTGTCACCAGGGCTTAGACTGGGAACAGCTCTCACTGTGTCACCATGATGGCAGGGCTTAGATTGGGAGCAGCTCTCATTGTGTCACCAGGGCTTAGACTGGAACAGCCCTCACTGTGTCACCATCACACCAGGGCTTAGACTGGGAACAGCTCTCACTGGGTCACCATCACACCAGGGCTTAGATTGGGAGCAGCTCTCACTGTGTCACCATCACACCAGGGCTTAGACTGGGAACAGCTCTCACTGTGTCGCCATGATGGCAGGGCTTAGATTGGGAACAGCTCTCACTGTGTCACCATCACACCAGGGCTTAGATTGGGAGCAGCTCTCACTCTGCTCCATAACAATGCTCTCTTCACCTGCATTGTAGCCTTGTCTTTAGTCCCCAGCAGGAGCAATGTCCCCTCTGTGTCCCCTCTGTGTCCCCTCTGTGTGCCCTCTGTGTGCCCTCTGTGTGCCCTCTGTGTCCCCTCTGTGTGCCCTCTGTGTGCCCTCTGTGTGCCCTCTGTGTCCCCTCTGTGTCCCCTCTGTGTGCCCTCTGTGTGCCCTCTGTGTCCCCTCTGTGTGCCTTCTGTGTCCCCTCTGTGTCCCCTCTGTGTGCCCTCTGTGTCCCCTCTGTGTGCCCTCTGTGTGCCCTCGCTGGCCCTGCTGACTCTGCCATTCCCTGACACCTGGGAGGGCAGGAAGGAGGTGTTGTGCAGGAGATGTTGCTGTGCCAGTGACCCCCTGGCTGTGCTGGGGCTGCAGTGCTGCTCCCAGGCTGGCGTGCTGCCCTGGCAGGGAAGCACCAAACTGGGCCCTGCACCTCGTAAGCTCCCCACCCAGCCCACTCCCCATTCACCAGATGTTTGGTCCCTGAGCTCACTCCTGAACGGGGTCCAGGCAGCTCCTCTTGCTTCAGCTGCTCGTCCTGAGCCCTGGATCCCTGACTCTCCTCCCATATGTTTCCCATTAATCCTAGTCCTGCCTGCAGGGAAGCTTGCTATGGTGATGGAGGGAAGTTGGTTCACACAGAGGGATGCTGCTAGTTTGCTCCATTGATGCCCTTTTAATTCTCAAAAAAAAATCAGGATTCTTTCTGCCTGTATCTGACTATACCCCCTATATCTGATTATATCCCTATATCTGACAATATCCCCTGTATCTGACTGTATTCCCTATATCTGACTAAAACCCCTATATCTGATTATATCCCCTATATCTGATTATATCCCTATATCTGGCAATATCCCCTATATCTGACTGTACCCCCTATATCTGACTGTATCCCCTATATCTGATTATATCCCTATATCTGACTATACCCCCTATATCTGACTGTACCCCCTATATCTGACAATATTCCCTATATCTGATTATATCCCTATATCTGACAATATCCCCTATATCTGACTGTATCCCCTATATCTGATTATATCCCCATATCTGACAATATCCCCTATATCTGACTGTACCCCCTATATCTGACAATATCTCCTATATCTGACTGTACCCCCTATATCTGACTGTACCCCCTATATCTGATTATATCCCTATATCTGACAATATCCCCTATATCTGACTGTACCCCCTACATCTGACTATGAGCACTATTACCAGGATGTGCACCACCACCAGGGAGATTCCTGTGGTGGGGCTGCTGGCCCCATCCTGGCAGGGATGCCCTCTGGAAGGAGTGACAGCCTCCCACAGCCTCCCACTGACAGCAGCTCCTGGATTCCTGTCCCCAGGTGCTTTGGCTGCTCAGAGTTCAGACCCTCAGTGTTTCCAGGAAGGAAACAGAATTCCTCATGCTCTTGCTTGACTGTGGGGCTGGTTTTTATTTGATGCCAGAAGATAGCAGGGTTGCAGACCCCTGTCTGTTTTTTTGGACTATTTTACCAATATTTCACCTAACTCAGGACCGGAGACAGGTCTGCTACAGGAATGTCAGACCCAGCTCCAGCTGCAGTCAGTGGAAAAAAGAGAAACTGCCTTGAGTGGGAGCTGGACTGGGACCTAAAACAGTGAGTGCAGTGGTGCTGCAGTGTCTTTCATCTCAAAGACACTGGGTGAGATCCAGGCTGTGCTGGTAATGGTTGGGAAGCTGCCAGCAGCTAAAGATGTGGAACAAGCTGGTGACTCCTTGCTCCGGTTTGTAGGAAGCCACCAGACAAAACAAGGCCCAGGAACAGCCAGCTGAAGCCTTTCCTGCTTGGGGTCATGCTGTACTGGCATGGCAGTAATTTAGGAACTTCCCCTGATGTGGCTGCTGCGGTGTCTGATCCGTGGAGGCCACAACGCCTCTGTGCACATTTATCCTCAGGAAATTCCCTAGAAACGCTCAGCAGGCTGTACCAGCAGTGCCTGGAGCACAGAGTTTTCCCAGATCTGGCCTGCTCTGCTGGTGCTTTGACAGTCCTGAGCATGACACAGAACCTGCCCTGCCCTGGCTTCCCTGCTGCACCCTCAGCTCCTGCAGCTCTCGGGGCGAGGGGATGGAGGAGCAGACACATCCTGGGCTGTGCAGCCCCTGCAGCCAGCCCTGCAGCTCTCGGGGTGAGGGGATAGAGGAGCAGACACATCCTGGGCTGTGCAGCCCCTGCAGCCAGCCCTGCAGCTCTCGGGGTGAGGGGATAGAGGAGCAGACACATCCTGGGCTGTGCAGCCCCTGCAGCCAGCCCTGCAGCTCTCGGGGTGAGGGGATAGAGGAGCAGACACATCCTGGGCTGTGCAGCCCCTGCAGCCAGCCCTGCAGCTCTCGGGGTGAGGGGAGGCAGGAGCAGACACATCCTGGGGTGTGCTGCACACACAGTTGTGCCCAGGCTCGGTTCCATGCCCAGGCTCAGCTCTGTGCCCAGGCTCGGTTCCATGCCCAGGATCAGCTCTGTGCCCAGGCTCAGCCCCATGCCCAGGCTCAGCCCCATGCCCAGGCTCAGCCCCATGCCCAGGCTCAGCTCTGTGCCCAGGCTCAGTTCCATGCCCAGGATCAGTTCTGTGCCCAGGCTCAGCTCTGTACCCAGCCTCAGCCCCATGCCCAGGATCAGCTCTGTGCCCAGGCTCAGCTCTGTGCCCAATGCCTCCTGCTCCCGGGATATTCTGCTGCCAACGCCGCTCCTGCAGTGCTCTCTGCTGGGGAAGGAGCTGCGAGCATCCTGCAGCCCGGGCTGAGAGCGACGGAATGGGTG